CATTGCCGGCGTACGAACGTTAATGAAATCCGGACAAGTTCGGATTGTTTTCGTACGTCAAAGTTACACGTACGTATACGTACGAACAAATCGCACCAAGTCTGCGCGCTCACATAGTATTTGGTAGATCGGGATCGTTCGTGCGTGTACGTACAAGTTCGCACGAATCAAATTCGTACGAAAACGCATTCAATGTGCGCGCGACCCTACGGTCTGGGACAAGAAAGAAGAAAATATGTATACGTTTACTTGTGATGTTAAATTGCCAGTGGTCGTGAGCCTGAGGAAGTCGGTGGGCAGGGGTCCGAGCATCGGTGGGTTCCAACGGCTTGACGAACAGCCATCGATTTGTCGGGCGGCCTTCTTGCCGAGGTTGTGCAGCACGTCGGGCAACCTGAAAACCGGAGACAGACATAGAGCGAGAGAGAGAGAGAAAGAGACTCGTGCGGGCCCATCGATCGTCGAAACTGCAGGCCCTGATTTACGGATGTGCATCCGGTGCACGAGTACAGGGTCTAAACATTTTAATTTTTAAGGGCCCACTGATGCTTTATCCAAAAAAAAAACACTTGTCAATGTCATATAAGTTATATGCATGAATAAAACATGATAAATTGTGTAGTATGCCTAATAAAGTGTTAACTTTCTTAACTTAAATAAATAATAATATTAAAAATTCATATTCGATCTTCATTAATACGAGGAAACTGCAGGATTCTATTTGTTATTATTACCGCAGGAATCAAATATCGAAGTTCCAAAACAATATTAAAGTTTGAAGTTAAACGAATAATTTGACAAAAAAAAATAAAAAAAAATAGAAGTCGATTTTGAAAGGATTTGGATTAAACATTTAAACGTGTATTTACTATTTAGTGTAGTCGGTTATGTGCGATAACGTACCCCAAGGATAAATCGATGTTTTTTTTTTGTGTGTTTTATAATTTAACCCATCTTATTTTTCATATATAGTTAAAAATGGCCCAAAACTGAGTGCCTACGCCAAACGAGCCACCTGCACTTGTTTAAATCAGGCCCTGCGTAGTCGAAACGACTCGACGTTCTCCTCACATCGGGTCGAAGACCGCGTGCTGCACGGGAAGACCACCACCGTCGGTCGGCCCATTGAGCAGGTCGGCCGCCCGACATTCGCAGCTCATCGTCAACAGTTGGTCGACCGTCCGGTCCACGCTGCCCTTGTTGCACCGCAACACCGCCTCGATCACTTCGTCGTCAAGCGTCGGAAACATCGTCTTGAAGTCGGCCATCGCTTCGTTGAAGTCCAACCCGACGGTTGGTGGCCGACGATCTGCCGCGGTTTTGGCAGACTCGGCCACAACGTCCACCGCCTCCATGCCGATGGCGGTATAGGTTCGACCTAGACTTGGTTCGATTATGGTACCTTTAAACACCTGCTTTCCAATAACGATGAATAACGACTTACWTATTATGGTAAAACATAAAAAAATTAATTTTATTAGATAATTTACGTCACTCTACAACAAAAAAGAATGCCTAATAATTTTGTTCGAAATTTCTATATTATTTATGTGCGCATTTAAAATTTTTCATATAAATCGAGTTCGTTTAAATATATAATATAATATTTCATGTTAATTATTAAAATACACCTTCGTAAAAAAAAAATAAAAGTATGATAATATTCTAATTGCAAGTGCCAAGTAGGTACTATAGGTATACTTGTACTTCAACAGTAATGTGTATTTCGGTTGATAATGATTATGCAAAACTCGGGAATATTAGAAATCATTATCTAATTGTTTCTCTACATTATTTATTCGCGTTTATTGTGTTTTATGTGCTTATAAAACATTCTTCAGACTCTGTAGTCTGTACATTTACCAGGCAAATTCCAATGATTTAAGTTGAAAGTGTGGCGTAGATTAGGTAAGCATTTATTATTATATATTATATATTATTATACCCTTCCGTTTTCTGTCGTGGCGTAAATTATACCAAAATTAGTATGTACCTGCAGCGACCTCCCTACTTGGACGTGGCGTAAATAACTTATTTTTTATATTTTGGTGCATATTACATGAACTCTTTGATGATGTACTAACAGTGGCGTAATTTGGCTATGTTTGTGGGGGGGG